AATTAATTCTGGAAATTTTATTGACATCATGAGATTTTTCATTTGAAAAAAAATCCTGGAAAAATATATGGATGTGAAGAAAACATCAAAATCGAAAATATGTTGTAAAACCAACTGAATGCCGTCTCTAGTCGAAGCTAGTCTTCTTGATTATTCTCCATAAAAAATGAAAAAAATATAACGTCACAGATAAAAATTGTAAAAATATGTACGTATACCGAAATATATAAAATAAAATAGTGCTATTTGTCACAGAATGTCTTCAAACTAATTTGATAAATAATCTAGTTAGATAAATGTATGTAAATACATATGAAACCGGTCCCTATTTATCAGTACTGACAAAAACGCACGCGGCAGCTAAGTCACTTTATTGCCAATTTGGCGTTGATGTGAAGCAGTGGACTGAATATGTTTTTTTTGTTTTTTTAGGGGGGCTAAGCCAAAGGTTTGAGTACTGTGTGTTGCAGTGCACACGCAATTTTGCGTTTTACTGGTATGTGTAAGTGGCTAGTATGGGTTCGTGTCGGACCTTAGTCAATAGCCAAATCGGCTTTTGTGTTGCACTACGCCCTTAGAATATCAGAGGGGAGTGCTTGTCTCCTTTGCCTTATGGCAAGGACGTGTCGATCTAACTGTTTAAGCGTTGCCGGAGCTTCGTCGGTTTGAAAGGCTTCGTTAAACGAAAGCAGTCTCAATGATTGAGTGAAGGACTCGATATCATGTTCCTTGCTCAGTACCTTCAACCGTTTCCGTAACGGAGGGCGTTATGAGCCGTGAGAGTGGTAGGGCGTGACCCTGTTAGATATATCAATACTGCGTCATCCTTCATTAGCTCACCTACCTTACCTTCACGACGGACCACTGACTGATGAGCGTCATCCTCGTTTTAACCTGAAAGCTGATTAATTCACGTTCTGTCACAATCACTTGGAAATAAGTAGGCACGAATGAAGTTTATAATCGCAAATTATTGAATTGCCAGCTAAATACAGAAAAGCAATCTGGAGATTGCTGCATAAACACATAAAACATTTTTGTGATTGATGATCTCATAGCATTGTTGCACTAGCACGTTGAGGAGTTATTATACCTGTAAGGAGAACACAAAGAACAGAACGTCACGTGAATTTTACAGTTACCGCAACAGCGGACATTGAGGCAGGCAGTGATGGCACGTGGAAGGACTGGTCGCAGGAGGCGATGGTGACGGTGGCTGCCGCCAGACCGATTGGTGATGTTACCACCGACGTAGAGCTGTACTGCAAGACACCTCGTTACATTAACAGCCAAAATGACGAAGTCCTGTTAATGCCGTGAATTGAAGCACTTGAACACTGTTCATAGCAATAAAAGTCACTGGACACTATTAGTTCTGCTGCATATAGAATCACATGCGTAACATGAAATTACAGTTGACTGTTGCACGTATGAGTGTATATAGCGTAACATGTTCACAATTAGTTAACTTTTAACTATTTAAGTTAGTAAGGCAAGCAAGTTAGAAGATTGATACTAGTTTTTACACGCATGGTCTTAAGATTGTAGTGCAAGGTGAAGCAGATTAGGCGTCGCACCGTAGTGATTGCCAGAAATGTCTGAAGATAGTTGCACACGTGGTTGGAGTGTAGCTTGATTAATAAATAAAATACATTGTTCGAATTGCACCAACATATTAGGCAAGCAGAGTCAGAAGAATGTGTTCACGTGAGCACTTAAGATTGTAGTGTTACACAAAGGAACAGAGAAAACTGAGATACTCTCCAAAACTAAAATATCGGTTTCAAATTCAAGGGGTCGCGATATCAGCTAGATCGATTGGGGAATAATGTTGGAGAAAATCGGCTGAACGGTGCAACCGCTAGCTTTGTTGACAGAAGGAAGGACGGACGGAATTTTGCGGTCATTCGATTTTTCGGTATCAAGGAGCCACAAACATGGATTTTAGCTTCACCGCGTGATAAAAATTTTTCTCTAAATTTAGCAACTGGATTTATTCACTTTCGTTATGAGGGCCCTGTAATACGAGTTTTCTGCAGAAAATTCGCAATTGTTTTCGCACAGAATCACATAACTTTGTACTCCGTACGGGGAAACTATTTAGTGGTGCTAAGACAGCACGTACTTTCTCGCCCTATTTCCGGTCAAAATTACGCTAAAATACTCAATTTTTGAAAAATTGTACGTGACCTATTTCAAAATCTATGTTTTAGGAAAAAATATATATCTTTAATATTTTAGTTGTAGTGTAATGGGACGGTCGCACATATGAGATGGCGACGCGAGTTAAATAGTTTATTTAATGAGGAATCGCGCCTTCGTGAAAGGCGGCCGGAAATGTGCCGTATCCTGCATACCTGGGAGGGCCGCTTAGCGCACCGAGGGAAAGGAGGAAAGCACATCTTTTGTGCAGCGCAACCAACGCCGGACGCCCCCCTTGTGACGTATGGGGAAATACGCCTCCCGCACCCCCAAACCGAGTAACGGAATTACCCGCGCCTAGTTTTTAGAATTTGCGTGACGGAGGTAACTTCGGGGAAAGTTGCCGGGCGCGTAGCTTTGCTGCTGGCGCCGTGATAAGTGGAGTATCCGCGGGTGGCGCGACGACCAATTGAAATATACGATGCGGGGGAGGAAGCACGTGACACGCGAGCTTCCTGAGGGACCGCCAAAAAATGAATCCATCACTTGTTTCGGAGGTGGCAGGAGGATCACTTGTGTTGTGAGGTAGCCGCGACATCACTTGTTTCCGGAGGCGGCATGGGAGACACTTGTGTCGGAGGCAGCGAGGAGATCACTTGTTTGTGAGGAAGCCGCGAGAACACTTGTTTTTGAGGCAGTAGCGAGGCCACTTATTTCCGTGCCTGGTCGCCGCGATTGCCACGCCGCCTCGCAGTCCGAATCGCATGACGTAAGCCGAACGATGGGACGTGACACCACGTGAGTGCCTGACCGCAAGGGCCGTGTGAGAACGAGCCGCAGCGTGGAAGACAATATCACGAAGCCATCGCCCGGGCGCGGCCCTGCCGCCCGCCCGCGCTAAGCAACGCTGAGGCGCCATCCGGTCGACGCACGCCGCTGGCCTAATCCGGGACTGAGAGCCGCCGCCGCGACCGCCACAAAGGGACCCGGGGCAAGTACCGACCGTGGCTGCCCGCCGCCGGACCTGCCGGGCGCTGGGATGCCCGAACGCCGCACCTGTAAGCTGGGTCACGACCGCTTGGGAGGGCGAACACCACGGAACTAAGATGAACCCTAGCCATTCCGGCCTGTTCTAAGTTAAGATTAGTTATAAGTTAATTGTAAGTTTGTTTATGTCACTGGGCTTCACCCGCACCGAATTCAAAGTTAAAGTTATATTAAGAAAATGCCTAAGTTTTTCTCTCCAGTAGTTAGGCAATCACGCATGTCACCCTCTAGGGAGTCTGCCGACGAAGCAGCCGGGCAAAGCTGAATCGCCGAAGGAAATCAGGTAATTGGGTAAGTCGGTGGTTATGGTAGGAAGATTCCGAAAAAAAATGTTTAAACCTTTGCAATTTTCGAAAATTCACGGTTTTCAACGAATACGCCATTCTCTTAAACGTCCTTTACACTACCCACAAACAATATTTAATAAGAAACAATAGAGCCATTTTTTTGAAAATGTCCCAGAGACTTCATGTAATGTACCCCCTCAAAATTAAAATATCCGTTTTAAATTCAAGGAATCGCGACATCAGCCAGATCGATTGGGGAAATATAATTTTTGCGAAAATCGGCTTAACTAGCATTTTGTTGTCATTTGATTTTTCGGTATGACGAACCCACAAAACATGCATTCTGGTTGCACCAGGTGTTAAGAGATTTAAAAAAAATTAGCAACTGGATTTATCCACTTGCTTCGCAATACTTTTTTCTGTCGAACTGATTGTTTAGTGATTCCGGGCACTTTTACTAGCTCGGTCATTAGTCCCGTAAGTGCAATGCTTGCTTTTTGCTCGGGAGATAGAGATACAAATTTTCCTGGCTGTATGGCGAGATCCGACGCCGACCTACCGTCGGCTAGCGGGGTTTTCTCCAACCCGGTATCTCCCACCAGCGGGGCACCGCCCCTCCCACGATAAGCTCTTAGCTCCTGACAGGTCTCCCGGCATGTGATAGTGAAGTGCGTGTTAATGTGTGTGTAAGGGGTGAGGATAGGACAAGGAAGAGGAAGATGAAATCGCGCGCGGTCCGTGGCCCGTTTGTTAGGGTACTGCTCCAGCACTCGCCTCGTGTTGATCGGAGAAACCATGATAAACTACCGATGAGAGCAGTCTGTCTCTAGAAATTTCCACCAGACAGCGACTGAAATCGACCTAGCTAACAAGATGTCTAAAATCTTGCCACCGTCGGGACTCGAACCAAGAACCTCCCCGTCAGAGGGACAGCCGTTTCTGTCGAAAATTCGCGTTTCCCACGCATCATTCCATAATTTGTCTGCTTGCGGTAGTTGTAACATTTTTTCGGTACGAGGGAACCCCAAAATGTATATTTTCGTTCTCGAAATATAATTTTTTTTTTCATCAGTATCACATAACTTTCTCTGTACTACCGCTATTACTCATTATTATTATAATTATAATAATAATTATAATTATAATAATAATAATAATAATTATTATTATTATTATTATAATAATTATTATAATTATTATTATAATTATAATAATAATAATTATTATAATTGTAATTATTATTATTAACTTGATTGGCCACATTGGACCACTTGAGTCGTTCCACTTCGCTTTGGTTGACTGTCGAAGGTTTTCACCTTGAGGTGAGGATAAATCCTCGAGTTACAATTCTGAATGTTATTCAGAAAGGATTACTCTATATATGATAAAGTATAAATGCTAAATCTGTGGAACTCGAAGAAACTCAACACCAATCAGAACCGAAGTAACATTTTTTGTTTCTTTAGCTTTAAAGTCTTTCAAACTGCCACTCGCTAACAAAATGTGTTTCAAAAGTAAATTATAATACAGAAAAAAACTGTTGAATTAATAGAAGAAATTGTTGTATATTGATTTAGGTTTGGTTTTATTCCTGGAATATTTATATTAGGGTAATCATTTTCTTAAAAAATCAAGAGTACACACTCGATCTGTGCACGTATCTTCATGCCATAAAGATAGTAGTGTAATCTATTTTAGTGCTTTTTTCTGCTTCTTCTTGGTTGTTTTGAACTTGAAATAAGAGAAAAACCAAAGGTTTAAACACTTTTCTGTTTTTTGAGAGATTGAATGAAACTGTTTAATTAGCCAATTATTGCAGTAAATTTTATTGCATACGAGAGCAAAATATTGCTTTTTAGTTTTACAATTTTTAGTAATGTTAATTAAAATTTACAGGAGTAGACTGCACATGTACAACATAGATAAAATAGGGAACAATACCAACATTCATTTCATTTGATCGACATGCACATATGTGATATACCGTACATCCACAAAATGTAATACAACATGCACAGTATATCATATGTGTACTTGTATTTAAGTAGTAATGGTAAAAGTATTATATTATTGCGTTACTTATACATTGTTCTGCATTACTGGTGTTTCTTCAAAAACTCCTGGTGAAATATCTTGAATTTTTCAAGCATTACTTTCAATTTTTCAGGCTGAGGAAGAATTGTGGTCCTGGGGAAAAAAATAATAGCTCATTTTTAACACCTTGCAAGTTAATAAACTGGAAAACAACAACAAACAAAAACCAGCGGTTTGCAACATTAAATTAACACCCAAGCAATGTAATGTGTTATACAGGGGTCAAATCCTCTCCAACCTCCTTTAGTACTAAGCACCTTCCATAATTTATGGATGACTTCCCCTTGCAGATATCTTTTGATCCTCCAATCTCTAAACATGCGGGTGTTCGTAAGGTTGTCCATAAATAGGGCGTACTTTCTCATATTAGTAAAGGTTATGTAATCTGTCATCTTTGAACTCAAGACCAATTAGTACTAGATACTTTGATTTATTTAGAGCTGCATTTCACGAGTCGTCAGATGTTAGTGTCATCCAACCGGGAGCTTACACGAGACTACAGTGAAGTCACTATGGTGACATTCAACATCCCGATTTTATGATACTGTAAAAGGTGATTTATGTCAAGTGCGATTATGTTTAAATACAAGTATAGATGCAAAAATAAATTCTTTTAAAACGAACACATCAACCCAAATTCGACAACTCAAAACTGCGTTTCAGAAAATTCACCAATGAGAAGTAACTCTGAGAATTTCAAAATGTAACGCAGCGCTGCTATTTTCGTTTTGTAGACTGATGTTTTCTTAAAGACTCGCAGAAGAAAGCAAGAGTGAGAAATTAAAATTCGCAATTTTGAAGATTAACAATTATGCGACTATTCATAAAAAAGAAAATAGATAGTTTATGACCTTATTTAAAAATGTAATGTGGAAGAACAAATTTCATTGATTTAAAAACAAAGTCTATCAACAATATTATAGTTTTATGATGTTAATTACTTGCAATTTTCGAAAATAGTGTTCACTGAAAAATGAGACTTCTGCCATTTTTATAACTGTTCTTTACTCTATTTAAGAAAAAAATGGGATTTTTTTTTTTTGGAAAAGTGGGAAATACATTTATTTTAGAAAAACTGTACTTGACCGTACTTACAGACCTGCCTTTGAAGAATTTCAATTTGATTTCATTGAGAAAAATATGTCTATCTTCAATATTGTAATTGTAGGAAGATGCCAGAAAGTTATGAACTTTTGCAATTTCCGAAAACTAAGTAAGTTCAACGAAAACACAACCTGCACCATTTTTTAAAGAATCTTTTGCTCTAACCCAGGAAAGTTTGAAAGAAAAGAAGAGAGAACAAACAAACAAACAAAAAAAGGGCCTCAAGTTTGGACAGATGAAGGTCGATGAGGGAATAAACGATGGTGAAAATTCTCTGTATGATTTAGGCTCCAGCACTTCAAAGAGAGATACAGACACGCAGAGACAGACAGAGGCAGGCAGAGAGAGACAGACAGAGGCAGGCAGAGAGAGACAGACAGAGGCAGGCAGAGAGAGACAGACAGAGAGAGACAGAGGCAGGCAGAGAGAGACAGAGGCAGGCAGAGAGAGACAGAGGCAGGCAGAGAGAGACAGACAGACAGCAGAGGCAGGCAGAGTGAGACAGACAGACAGCAGAGACAGGCAGAGTGAGACAGACAGACAGCAGAGACAGGCAGGGTGAGACAGACAGACAGACAGCAGAGACAGGCAGAGTGAGACAGACAGACAGACAGCAGAGACAGGCAGAGTGAGACAGACAGACAGCAGAGACAGGCAGACAGACACGCAGACACGCAGAGACAGACAGACAGACACGCAGAGACAGACAGACAGACAGACACTCAGAGACAGACAGACAGACAGACACCCAGAGACAGACAGACACCCAGAGACAGACAGACAGACACCCAGAGACAGACAGACAGACACCCAGAGTCAGAGACAGACACCCAGAGACAGAGACAGACAGTCACGCAGAGACAGACAGTCACGCAGAGACAGACAGACACGCAGAGACAGACAGACACGCAGAGACAGACAGACACGCAGAGACAGACAGACAGACAGACAGACCTTTTGCTATCAGCCAATGTTTCAATGACAAGGACCCACAATCTGAATTCTGATTACGCAATGTGTTAGAGGAAATAATTTATCACATATAGGAGCAAGGTTTATGCACTTTTTTGGTATCAGAGACCTACAATATAATTTTTTTATGAAAAATCTCAGTTTTGTAACTGCAGCATGACAATACTTTCTCTACACTGCACAAGTAGAATGCGTTACAAAAAAACACAATATTTTTAACAGCTCACATAAGTTAACTGTTCCCTTGAAAACCAAGACTAAATTTAATAAATGTAGAAATAGGCATACAACACAAAAAGTGTTTCAGTATTTTTGGAACTGGAAATCAATGGCCAGTGATACATGAAATGACATGAAAAACAGGAGCTCACATGAAATCTTGCAATAACAGGCAAAGGTGATTAGCTACTAGGTGAAGTGAACTGTTGGTATCAAAAGGACACCTATGGGGACAAAAAGTGAGTGGGCAGGTAAAATGGTTAAAAACAATGAGGTTGTTAAATAAACATATCTAACCATGACAAAAACTGATAAGGTTGTGATTCTCAAGACAAAATTTCAAAATTATTAGGGAACCCATAAATTAATGATGCTTAGGGCCCCTGATGATATTAATCTGGCACTGCCAAGACCTACTACTGAACTGCCATACTTATATAACATGCGCACAGCTTTCTCTTGGCTTAAGTTTTCAACTGCTAAGTTTACTCTCTTCTTTCATGCCTTATTGCAAAGTTGTCAAAGGATTTCGAAAAACACTCTGGGCCTATCTTTTATCAATTGATAAATAGTATACCTGGGGCTAGTGGTTTTCTGTTTTAAATGTTCTATAGTCTATTCCAGCCTCCTTTCATTACATCTTTTAACTATTATATTACAAAGTAATTAATATTCAATTCCTCATTGAATTTTGTGCTCTCAATCATCATCCATAACATGCAGATTGACTAAATGAATACATCTCCACATATACTTGCCTGAAATGGTAGGTACCCTCTTTCTGACCAAACCCAGAACCAGGAACAATACATATGCCTGAATTTTCCAATAACTGGAAAGCATAGTATGCATCTGGTGCTAATTTTTGTTGTTTAGCTATCTCTATTGCTTTAGGAGGTAAATATATCTGCAAACAGAAAATTATTAAATCAACACCTGTTCTGACCTATTTACATTTATCTTGGTTTACATGGGAATCCCAAAATAAATGTTATTAACTTTTAGGGTATGTAGAGAGGTCAAAGATGATCACTGTTTGACAATGAATTTTTGAATATTGAAATTACACATGTGACACTTGCCCCTAATTGATAGACAACTGATCAGCACTGATGTTGATGGGCAGGGATATGCTCTGAAGTGGTCAAAGATATTTCTTGTACCTTCCGAACACCAGTGCATAAGGTGCCATGTATCAATTAGGGGTGACAAATTTGTATGTGAATACCATTTATTCTAAGACATCTAAAATTATAGCTTCATCACAACTTCATTTAATTATAGTTCCAATTGTGCACAAGGTAAAGGTATTGGCAATCAATCAATGGTTCCAAACTATTTTAAATGCATACACAAGGAATACAAGATTTAATATGAACAACTATATTTTTGAAAATGTTTATTTATAAATATTAATCTTCTTGCTGTAGCAAAATTAAATACAAAATGTAATACTCTTCACTCCCAAATTATTTTTCCATATTATATAGAAGAAAAAATTCCTATGCAATTCACAACACATTTGAATATCCTAGCTTCATTATTTTTCAGGAAAGAACTAATTGAATTCACCTAAAAATTCACAATTATAATGTGTCCTTTTTAAGTGTGACACTCCAAGTTTCAGAGGAATCGTGTTACTATTTTCTTATATTACAAAGTTTACTTGTAAGGAATGCATGAACTTTTTCTCACATCAAGAAGCTACAAATAGATACCAAATATGTTATTTAAAGCTTAACTTAGAACAGTTTTCACTTCTTATTTTTATCATTTTTAATTTCTCACACACTCACAAATTGAGTGTATACATTTATTTTTAACATGCTTGCAATACAATTTTTGAAAATTGAAAAAAATTTATTGACGCATAATAAAAATTAGTTTCCCCTGGTTTTTGCTCTAACCATAATGAAGGGCATGACCTTTAATATATTTGTTTTCAAATAAAATTTCCCACACTGTTTTGTTTTTAAGCCGAATATTCATGTATCAGATCAATTACACTTCCTATTCATTAGAACGGGACATAGTAAACCCAGCGTGCTGTGAATTTTACCAGATGCACGAAAATCTTGTCATGGTGTTTAAACATTACATTAATGTATTTATAAAATTGTAACTTATGTAAAAGGCCTCAAAAAAATGATAATACTAGTCACATAAGCAATAAACCCACCTGAGGAAAAGCATACATTGCTCCTTGAACTGCATTGCAAGACATGCCTTCAATACTGTTGAAAGTCTTTGCTACCATTTCAGCTCTTTCAGCTAGTGATTTGAGTACCGCATTCTTCTCTTTAATGAACAAATCGTATGATGGTTGACCTGGCTCAGGAGGCTTCACAACACAATCCATTGTCATCTAGAAACACAAGTAACACATCTTGCAACTCTCAAAAGCAAATTTAGATGAGGACCCTGGAAAATATATGTTTTTCTTTTCTTTATTTAAAAAAAAAAAAACAACAACAACAACAACAACAACAACAACATTAGCTTAATAGGTTACACGTTTAATACAGTATTTTCCCAAAAAATGCTTTCTACCACAAATCTGGTCCAACTTTAGGCATTGCAAATTTATTTTCATTTAATTATAATTACAGGCAACATGAAGATTAGTTACATTACTGATATTTTCTGACCCAATGCATTTAAAAAGTATTTTCATCATCATTATTGATTCTTTAACTTCCTATGTTGCATTTATTGTCTAGGGCTTCTTTTATTATTGACTGTTTCTCAGGCAATCCTGTCCAGTGTAGCCAAGATGTCAAAGAAACCTTTTCTGAGCTGAAAATATGATAAGACAGTACAAATAGTGAGAGATAATTTTTGTCTTGCTTAAAAATAAAATGCAGGAATGGCATTAAAGTAATATTCAAATTACATTAAATTAATTATTTGTAAATAAATATTTATAATTATTATAATAAATATTTATAATTAATATTAATAATTTAAATATTAATTAAATTAATATTTAAATTACATTACACATTTTCCAGAATTCTCATTTTCAGCCATGTTTAATTTTTAACTGGTATGCTACTTATCACCAATATTTTTTTATGTAAAGCAAATACTATTAAGTGTAAATGCACAGAATAAATCAAGGCTGTATTTCTCTTCCTTTTTGGAAAAATTACTCCGTAAAAATAGGAAATTAGTCTATTCGTGGTTGGTAGTTTTGGTTGCAAATATTATCTGAATGAAAACATATTAGGGAGATAAATATTACTGATTTGTGGGTCAGAGTTAACTGAATCCATAGAGTTTTAGTGTAGAAAGCAACAACAACTGTTCATTGAGTAATATAGAAAACCGTAAAAGTCTGTAAACAAGAAAAATGGTGCGCGGCTTAAAAGAAAAACGGCCACCATTTTGACCCACCGAGATACAATATACTATATAGTATATTCTAGATCGTTGTGAACCACGCACAATAATTTTTTTTTTAACAACTGGGTTTATCAGCCAAAACACACACTCTGGTTTATTTTGCCATTGATATTAACATTGTATTCAAGTTTCATTCTTCATTTTTGCTTGTCACTATATTCTATGTGGTCTACTTTTTCTCGTCTGCAAATATTTCTTACGAGTTTCTTCTGGCGGTTTTGGGGGATGTTTTAAATTGTTTTCAGGATAGAGTGATCAGCATCTAGTTTACTGCTGAAAACTCTGACGTCTTATTTACTGTATGTTGAATCTGCTTAACATACTAAATAATAAGTGAAATTAAGAAAACAGGAAAATAATTAGGCATTTCTATGTCAAAATAATACCTTCAAATATTATAGTAACATCCTAACACATTTGGGAAAATGTTATGTTCTATATATACGTTCATAGAACTGTTAAGACTGTCTAGAACTATTTACTATTATCTAGAACATTTTGGGTTGTGTTTATGATATTTCAGAAAAAGGTTCTTATTTAACTGTAGGGTCAGACATCATTTATGCTGGAAAAAACTGGAAGGATATTTTACAGAAGTGTTCAATTACTAAGGGTAGAAACACACAAAACGTGATGCATATAAACATCATAAACGTAAAGACTCAGCATGGCAAGAATGATTTCATGAATGTCTAGGAGCACAAGGGCATACAAAGCAGTGTGGGCGTAGTGTTATGTGGAACAGACAAATTTTTTTCTTTGCTCGCAATCTGAACTGGCCAGCGGGTGATCGTGAATGAGGTAGTGTTAATTATTAATATGTTTTCGAGTCTGCCAATTGGCCGAATAAGCACAAATACCATCTGAAAAGATGTGTTATTACCAAGATGTGGGAAGAAATCGTTCAGACAAGGTAGTCTTCAAATAGTAATCATTATTTATAATCTTAATTCATACATTTTCAAATTATTTCTATTCATACAAACGAGAAATTTTTCATTATGGCGAAGAATAAGAAATAAATGGTGATGTTCCTTATGCTCCTGAACACACTGCATTCATCCACTCTCTTCACTTACATCTCAATACTTTGTATTTTAAATACATATTTTTACACAGATATAACTGGTGATTTTGATAGCGCAATTTTTCAAACTGTATGCGCGGTGCCGCGCCCTGTATGTTTCTACCCTAGCTCAGCATAGGCATGCAACAGAAACTAAAGAAATGTGATAACATTAGACATGCTCCTAATGTGGAACGTAAAACTTACCTGCCCAAGCACAGTTGGACACAGCATGGCTGAAATGCTCTTCAAGTACATTGCTTTTACATCAGGCTGAAGATTAATGACTTCGGCATAGCCACCTCGCAGTCCACATTCACCCATGTACCCTGATTATATACATCAAAATCAGATATAATAAATATTACTCAGAAATATTACGGTATTTTATATTTATAGTGCCAATGAAATAAATAAAAATGTGCTTTAAGTTACCTTTTGAGCAAGACATAAAACTAGCCAATTCAGTTTGGGAATATGGTGGACCCATTTCCATCAAGACTTTCTTAAACGAGTGAAATTCACTGTTCTTGTCATATACATTATGCTGATAAACCTAAAAACAAAACATTTTCATTACACAGTGTGAACACTATTACTATAAAGAGGCCATTCAAACTAATGGGAATGCACACAATACCCACAACTTTTCCTCCTCATAGTGTAATTACACAACAAATGCTCTGGTTAAAGAAATACTGCATGACATTTAAATCTCTTTTGAATGAAGTTTGGAGAAGGTATGGAGAAAGTGAAGTTATGGAGAAAAGCCAGCCCCAAGCATCAAAATGGTTTGGAAAGTAGTGACATGTTTTAACAATTCGAGCAGCAAGAGAGCACACTGAAAATGAGATATGTGTTGGAGATCACTTTATAAAAGTGTTACATATTCATTATGTGAAAAATAGAAAACCCCAAAAACATTGTTTCATGTCTTAGTAATAAGTTAGTAAGGGTTTAATAATAAGTCTCAAAGAAAAATGAAATGAGGGAGATTTGTTTGAAATGAGGGTGAAATGTTTTATATTTAACAATATTTTGAGAAAATCATTCTTTTTATCAAATTGAAAAAAATTCAAGTGCACATTACATGAAAACTACTTGTTTTTTAACAAAATTGTACATGACCTTTTTTAAAAGTGATGATTTTTTAAACAGACTGAGGCAAAAACCTCCAACTTCAACTTCGTAGTTTTGAAATGTAAACTTTTTGCAATTTTCAAAAACATGGAGATCGGCTAAAATGGGACTTGCACCATATTTTTTACTGTCCTTTGATATATACAATGAGAAAATTTGGAGAAAACCTTTAGGGTGGTTGATGAGGGAAGGAAAAAGAAAGTTGAACTATGTCTTAAAGCACAGCTCTTCTATCTGGTAACACATTTTCTAATGACTCCTACATTTTAATTTCAGTAAATTAAAATTGCATATTTACTTCATCTGCCAGTAGAATCAAACCCTCTTCATTTGCAAATTTTATAATCTCTTGAATATTTTGTTTGGTGAGAACCTGTCCTGGAAAACAAAAATCAGAAACTGAAGTTGCAAGTCTACTAAAAATCTTAGTTTTAAATTATTATATTTTCTGACAATTTTGAAAAAAATCAAAAATATATTTCACATGCTGGAATAGAATGAAAGCACATTCCCATTGCAAGATCCTCATAAAAAAATATACACATACAAACCAACACACAAGCAAACGCAAACAAAACAATCTTAAAAAATCATTGTGCCTCGTTTCAAAACTTTTGAAATTAAATTAACATGAGAGACTACTTCTCATCAGGTAATGTTAGTGGGGCAAGGTTTCAAGGACAAAAACTCTCCCTAAAAAAGGCAAGGGACTGAGAATTTTCTTTTGTA